GTATATGTATGATTATATATACAAAAAGATGAATGAAAAAGATGAATGAAAGGTGTCATGACAAGATCCCTGATATGACTGACCTTTGCTTCCCTCAATATTTACACTTTAGAACTTATCTCCTTCTCTTACATTTAGTTTAATCTGTGGCAAGCAAATATCTGTTATGCAACTGTTTGGATTTCAGGGCACATGCAATCCTTTGAGCTATTTCATATAATCATCTATTTGCCTCAGAGTTAAATATTCAACTGTTTCATTTTAATGCTTAATGTGATAACTTTGTGCAGCTTTCTTTTATATGGGTTACAAAGCATTGTATGTGTTTTTTTTTTAGACAAAAATGTTGCTTAGTAATGTCATTGTAATAGAAGGGGATATTCATTCTGCAGCTACTTATAGAGAATAAGATATAAATAGCCTGTCTATATAATTTTTTCTTTTTTTAATTTTGAGACTAGGTCTCACTAAATAGCCCAGGGTGGCCTTGAATTTTTGATCCCCTGTATCTCCAAGTAGCTGGTACTACAAAATATAAATACATACATACATACATACATAAAAACATACATAAAATTAATTTATCAGTTTTACAGATAAATATGAAAGGATGATTCATTTAACTTTTCTACGTTGGCTGTTCATTCAGTAGAACAGATTCCTATTAATTCAGAAGTTCACAAACCTATATTGTCAGAGTACCTAGTATATCTTTCCAGCCAGTAACTTTATAAAGCATGACTAGATAGATTTAAAGTTTTCACAAACATGAAGTTTTCAGGCACTGTTTGTTTTTCTATGTGTGGATTAAAATACTTTTATAGAGTTGACTTGATATTAATAAAAGACATATATTAGTAGATTTGAAAAATTCTCTCAGAAATAAAATGTTCCAAAACAAGAATTATAATATTGAAATTTTTCTTTCATTGCAGTAATAAAAGTCATGGAATTTTAAAATTTCTATGTCAAGAGTTCAAGTCATATTTGAAGAGTTAAATTTTGACACTTATAAAGTATCAAAAAATTTGACACTTCCAAGGACCAACGTTCTCACTCTCCTGACAATGACTGACAGACACAGGTGGTCTCTTCGCTCTCCCATGAATAGAACCACAAGGGGAAAGATTCTCCTTAGTCCAAACACGATCATGAGTTTACCTCCCGCCGAGCTCATTCACATGCCCACACATCAGCGTGTCATACGTTCCTGAGTTTAGATCAGTGCATTTGGTTGGGCATGGTCTCCCATGAGCATTCTGCTCTAAGACTTTATAAAAATAAAATGATTGAATTTTAAACTGATCACTTAATTGTTCTCTGTATAGATATTTATTGAGCACCACTGTTTTGCAGGCAAGTTAAAAGGAAGAGAATACAGTGGCAAAAAATGGTCACTATCCTAAAATTATAAAGGTGTGACTTTAGAGATGATTATAGGTATTAAGCAACTAAGCAAATAAAATATATGTTGAATATCCTTTTCTTAAAAGCTTAGGATCAGAAGTACCTTGGACTCTAAAGTTTTTTCAAAGTTTGAAATATTTGCATAAATTTTATCAGCTGAGCATATCTAATCTGACACCCAAAATGCTCTGAATTCTTAAATTGTAAAGTGAATTCTGTAATTTCAAAACACAGAATAATTTTTCAGGATGCAACAAATACGGAGAAAGAAAACAGAATGATGTAGTACAGTGGCTGGAAGGAAGAGACCTGTGTTGGGTTTGGAAGTCAGGAAAGTTGAGGTGGTAACATTTGAGCTTGTGCAAACAACTGAGTATGGAGCAATTCAGAGAGGAGAACAGCAAGCATAATGTTCCCCGAATGGGGACAAACTTGGAATTGATAGAGACAGAGACATCCACTAGAAAAAAGTAAAGTTAGTACCACATCTTGTTTTCAGTACAGAGAAAGTCCAAGTTAGAAGGAATGATAGATATAAATTCTAGAAAACTATCCTGCCAGTTAAGTTCACCAATCAGAATTTCTAGAGATTTTAATGTGGAAATGTCCTGGCTAATAGCAACATTTTCTATGGCCCACTTCTCCTACTCAAAAGGAGGTCTATCTTGCCTCATTAAATAATACCATTTCAGTAAGGACAGGGAATATAAGTACCAATGCAAAATTAGTCAAAAATGTAATAGCCAAAAGTGAGACTTGATTTTCACAATATATATTTCCTCATTTTAAGGAAAGTTTGTGCTTTAGTTTGGATGATGTTGAATTTCCCACTAAGGTCATTGTTTTAAAGGTTTGATCCTGAGGGTGGTATTTTTGGCAGATGTTGTGGACCATTAGGAGGTGTGGTCTTATGAGAGGTCTTTAGGTCTTTGGGAACATGCCCTTGAAGACTGTGTGAGGGCTTTGGGAACATGCCCTTGAAGATTGTGTCACCCCACTGGTCCTCTCACTTGCTGTGCTTCCAGGACCATGAGGTGAGTGGTCTACTCCACCACCCACTCCCACCATGATGTTCTGCCTCATCAGAGGCAAAACAATGGGGACACTTTACCTTGGACTACAACTTCCAAGAGTTCCATGCCCTTTCCAGAGCCCTGAGGTAACACAAGCCTTTTATAAGTTAATTATCTCTAGTGTTTTGTTATAGTAATAAGAAGTTGCCTAATACAGTCTGAATTTCAGCAAAGTAACTTATTTTTTTTGGAAATACAAGCACTGAAAAATAGCTATAGCCTCTTGAGAACTAAAATATACCATAACTAGGCATCACATTCTTAACACTTTTACTCTTTCTATACTAAAGAATAATTTTTAATTACAAAATTAAACTTGAAACTCATTATAATCATTAGCTTCTATATGTATTTGTGTTTTAATTTTGGGACTTTTTTTTTTTTTTTTGGTACTGGGAATCGAATTTAGGACCTTGTGTTTGCCAGGTAGGTGCTGTGCCACTGAGCTGTATGCCTAGCCCTTGTGTTTTAATTTTAAAGCACAAAAATAAGAATCAAAGAAAATCTAAGGAACTAGAAGAAAAAAAATGTTAAAATAAACATTAAGAAGTCCTTAAATATCACTTAAAATATGGTTTTAAAGTCTAGTGAAAAATAAAATTTTGCTCCTTTTTTGAAAACCATGTTCTCATTCTTCAGCTAAAGCCAGTTAGTGTTAATAAAAATAAATATAATAAACTATTAGCTAACTTTAAAGGAAATGTCACAGTAAACCTGATCATGGTGGTGCTGTGATAGAATGGAAAAAGGATGAAGTTCTAGGCTTTGAAGGAAAGGTAAAAAGTGATTGCAATCCTGATTCTTCTCCTTGAATTTTTCTGAGCTTCAAATCTCTCCTTTTAAAAGCTAACTTGACACTAGGTCTGCTGTGAGAACTGAATTAGACAATTATTTTATAGGGCCAAGCAGACAGAAATCACTGAGTACACAGTAGTCTTTTCTAGACCATACCACCACAGCCTGGCATTAATACACTGGGTAATAGTTCTCCTCAACAAGAAGAATTTCTTCAGTGCTTGTGATACAGCTTAATGGTAATAAACAATTCTCTAACAAAAGTACTTATGCAATTCTGTATTACTTTTTTTTTTGTCTTTTTTGAGACAGGGTCTCACAATGAAGTTGAGGCTTGCCTTGAGCTCACTTTGTAGCCCTGGCCAGCCTTGGACTTGCAACGATCCTCTTGCCTCAGCCTCCCTGTACTATATTTCTAAACATATAACTTTTCCATCAACCTAGTTGCTCTAGGTATCAAATACATATGGATTCATTCAAAATAATCCTTCAGGAAAAACAATACTTCTTCCATATGTATTTCTGTATTTATCTGATGGCCTGCAAAAGTAAGCTGTCTAGAAGAAGAGAAGCTGTGTAGAAGGAATGCCTTCTCAGCACTCAGAAGTGGTTCAAAGATCACAGCCCTGGAAAAGTATAGTGGGAGCAGTTTATAGGTCAGAGGGAAATGAATCCAAAATGTTTAATTTTGGATTTAGCTTAGATATAAAGCTGAAAAAGGTAAAGTTTATTAGCAGAAAAAGAAGAATAAAGGTAAATGAGGGGGGATTGGATGCAAAATGTTTAATTTTGGATTGAGCTTAGATATAAAACTGAGAAAGGCAAAGTTTTTTAGCAGAAAAAGAATAAAGGTAAATGAGTTGGTTTACGGCTTAAAATTATATGTGCTCATTAAATTTTACATCCTTTCTATTTAATTTTTTGCTTGTGAGAGCACTCAAATACACCCGGAGTACATAATAAAACAAAGAATCATAATAGTTAGGGGTCAAAACAATTTTGTAACTAAAACTTTATATGCATTACCATCCCATGTGGATATTAAAACATTCATGTGGTGATTCATCATGTAATCATGTAATGAAAAAGGGGTTGTCTTTGTCCAAATAGGATAAATTTGTGGTTCATTTCAAAGTCTAAACAGGTTGGTCAAAGGACACATGATTGTACCTACACAGGAATATTAAATTCAAGAGATCTATGATACAGCACGGTGACTGTATAATGATTATTTATTGTATTCTCAAAAAATATAGATTGGATTTTACTTGCAAGTACCACAAAAATCACTATATGAGGTATTGCAATTCTTAATCAGCTAGGTTTAACCATTCCATAGTGTATATGTACTTCAAAACAATGTCGTACTCAATAAGTATATACAATGTTATCTATCAAATTTTTAAAAATTAAATGTTGTAAAAGTCCCCCTTTAAGTAAGAGCTCCCTATACCGAACACTGTGGAATGGGAACTTGGGCCTCTTTTCACTCTGTGGGTATTCATGGGCCACTGTCCACTCTTCATCAGAGGCAGGGCACTGTCATTGGCCACAAAGGTCACAAAAGGACAAAGAACCCGTCAAATCTCCCATCAGCCTTGCTAAAAGCCGCTCCTGCCTCTCATCTTCCTTCCGGGACTGCAAGCAACTCAGACTCTAAAGTGTTAAAGCAAGTATTTCTGAAACTTATTTTTCTGGTTGTATTTCGTTTGAGCATATGTACAGCATTAAAATTGAAGACCTCGCCAGAGTCCAATATGTCCTAATCAATTTCCTGTACTATCCTGGAAAGTCTTGTGGAGCTTCTAAGCACTCAACAGCTGTCAAATCTCATCTTCATGCAGACTATGAGCTGCGATCAACAGATATGGTGAATGTTTACATTTATTACAGTACAAAACACACTGCCCTAGTCCTCCTCAAAACACTCCCTGATACTTACAGCACCCTTACCCCATTGTTCTTCCCACTTCATGAGAGAGGCAGCACTGCACGACCTTTTTCATGACTTTTTGTGGTTGCCTCAATGTTCTGAATCAATTTAAAACGTTTATGGCAATTTCTGCCACATAAAAACATTATACTGTGTCCTTATCCACCTTATTCAATGAATCAGGCACTGTGCGATTTCTAGCTCTTCCCCAAAGACAAAATGACCATGAAAAGTAAATGTTTTAAATTAATTCAAGATATCATGGTGGCCACAAAAGCACAATGAAAGAGAACTTTCCAGAACTGCTTCAGAAAGTGGCAAGTACAATGGGATAATTGTATTCAAAGTGAGTATTTTGAGAAGGGTGAATGACAACACCTCTTCTACAAAATTAGTTTTCAATTTAAATATTTACCGTATCTTGTGATAACATCTAGTAAATTGGTATTAAGAGATTTGTAGGCATAGAAGAAGAATTAGATCTTCAACCTCAGAGTTCACCCAGTGTGGCAAAACAATCTTGTAACTTAAACTTTATGTGAACTCCCATCCCATATGGATGTTAAAACATTTTTGTGGTGATTTATCAGACATAGGGAAGGAAACAACTGAATTCTTGGTTTCTTGCTAGTTATAGTGAAATCTCTCAACATCTTTCAACTACAAAATCATAATTTTTTATAGAGTTTGTGTGTGTGACAATAAAAACAAAGTAGTATGAAAGTGTTTTGTAAATTGTATAGAACTATAAATGAGAAAGCTTTTAATCTAGTATACTTTTTTAACATATAAAATATTAGGCCACTTTAAGTTCAATATTGATAAATCTTCTCTACTTATGAATTCCAATATCACTCCAGACTGAAGGAATTTATGTGTCTACGAAATGTACCACTATGAATAATATGCATTATAAATACTTAGTAATTTTGTTTTCTAATTCTAAATTAACATTATGCTGCTAGTTCAGATCATCCTGTAAACATGTAAATTTAACCTCTTTACAAATTACTATTGCTAGTATTCCTTAATTATCAAGCAAAGGCAGAACTGGAGTGTAGTGTGCAAAGTATTTTTAATTTAAGAAATCGAAAGAATTTCATATGATAATATTCAATCATGTTTTCTACTAACATGAAATGGGATTTAGTTTAGTAAAATGTATGATGTTAATTTTTTATAGTATAATAAAACAATTGGAACTCAACTAACTTTTGTAAACATTTTTACAACACCTTTTTTAGATAATATGCTTCCTGATATGCAGAGATGATGCAATAGTAGCCTATTCAGGGCATTGATATTTCTATAAAAACCCCAAGAGACTCAGTAGGGTATCTGCTGCATGCACAATTGCAGTCAGTTATTCCAGATATTATTTTTGTTTTCAGGAAAAGAAAACTAAATAGAACATCATGGCAAGTCTAGACTGGGGATATGATGGCCCAAATGGTAAGAGTATTTCTTTTCATATCCATCAAAATAACAGTTGATTGTCTTTTCTAATAGAAGGTATGCTAAGCACTTAAAACAATAGGACAGGCATAGTTTGATGGTTTGGATTTCCTGGACTGAATAATTATAATATCCTTGTAAGAAATTTTAGCAGATGGTCTTTGGGGCATAAATGTTTAAAAAATGCATTCAGTATATATATTAGAAATCTATTGCTCATGAAATATTTATAGTCTACTCCTAAAGGCTATGTGTTTAGGCCTGTATTGCTGGTGTTGACACATACACTGTTTTACAGTACAGTATAGAAAGCAAATATTCTCAAACCCAAAATTTCCATTTAACTCAATGTCATTTAAGATGCTTGGTTAAACCATAAAGTGACAAGCAAACAGGTATAGTCCTAAAACTTGGAATCAAGCATTCAGTAAAGTTTTGATTATATGCACACATTTGTCCTGTTAGGTCCTGATCAATGGAGCAAGCTGTATCCCATTGCCAATGGAAATAACCAGTCTCCCATTGACATTAAAACTAGTGAGGCCAAACATGACACCTCTCTAAAGCCCATCAGTGTCTCTTACAATCCAGCTGGTGCCAAAGAAATCGTCAACGTGGGACATTCCTTCCATGTGAATTTTGAGGATGATAAATCAGGTGAGGCCAAAGACTGTTCTGCTATTTTTTCCTAAAATCTACTGGGGAAATTGCAACAACGAAGCGTAGAGAGCACCATCAGCCATCTTAAACATTTTGTGCTGCTCTCTGGTGAAACAGCTTGGACTTCTGGAAAGCGTCCAAATGACAAAGATAGTTTTTGGAATCCCTGTATTTGTCTTTTTTAAGTACTTACACTATTTAATAACACCTCCCGACCCCTTCCTCTATGTCAGGATCTTTACGCTCACTTAGTTCATTCTATAAACAGCCAAAAAGTCCTAGCGAGTACGATAAAAACTGAAAGGGTGAATACATTCCAGTTGGAACGAAAGTGGATGAGCACAGGGGGAAAGACAGACAGGACGACTGTGCAGTACTCACACCTCAGAAGCAGGCACATCGCCCGCCACATAGTCAACTTTCCCTCCGTGATCGTTGAATCAGTCATTAAATGACAATTTCGTAAGACAGTTCTGCTGACATAAAAGGCCATACTTGTTGTAGCACTTTCTTGATGAGTTCTGAGCCTAAATTTTAGGTGCATTTGGAACTATGTCCTTTATTAATGCTAGATTAAGTCTGGGATGTGTGTTTACACGATCATAGGATTAGACAGAATTCCAAAACAACAGGTCATACAATGTCAGATTTTTAACAGTGACCCTGCCCCACAGGCACTTTCTCTCATTCCCTGGCCCGGGGGTTCTCAGTATAACTGTTAAGATACACTGTGGTGTTTCATTAAGTACAAAGTATGTAATGCATAACTTGTCACTCAGAATAAACTGCTATAGATTTTGATGTATACTACCTATGCAGTTTTTGTTGAAAGAGTAATTATTGAACTTGCAAACTGCAGAATTTCAAAGAAAGTCCTGTAATCATATAATACATTCACCATTAATCAAACAGTTAAAAACAATAACAAGTAATAAAAAACCATTAGAAATGATACAGAGCTTCACTAAACAAGATGGTAGGAGTTCAGCAATGGTTGTTATATTGCATATTGTTGTCCTCAGATTAGTTGTTCCTATTACCAGATATACGCATGCAAAATTGGTCAAAAGAAAAAAAGCCTTACCTGACCCTTTCAATAAACCAACAGACATTAGCAGTAAACTCATCTCAGCTTTATATTGTTTTGTTTTTGTCTTCACTGTTGTTATTTTGTTATTGTTTTTTCTCTTAAAATAAAAAAGTGCTTTCTTGGCAGTGGAAACAGGTACAGCTGTAGCTCAGGTACTGGGAATTGTATATAATTTATGGGTTGTCTCGTCAGTGTCACAATGGGGGATGCATCATGCAAAAGTGCCACCACCATCGATGTAGGGAACAAAAAGAAGATGCAGACTTAAGCTCTAGGTTTGTTTGCCTTTCAAATCCACAGAATTTAGTGTGCATTTGTGCAAAGATAAGCTGGAATTTGTGATCTTCAGACTAATAGTTAGTTCCCTTCTCTTCCAGTGCTGAAAGGTGGCCCCTTCTCTGACAGCTACAGGCTCTGTCAGTTCCATTTTCACTGGGGCAGTACAGATGCATACGGTTCTGAGCACCTGGTGGATGGAGCCAAGTATTCTGCAGAGGTAATGTGATTTAGTAACTAGAAGATAATCACCTGACAGTGTGCCCAAAAGCCAAAAAAAGTATTATTCTGGTTTTCATAAGGAACTCCCAGACTCCCCTAAAATCAAACACAGACCCACCATGCCTGGCAATAGCAGCACATGTTTCATGTGAAAAGAAACAACTAAACTTAGACCTGAACTCTGGAATCCAAGATTTATTTTTGTCCTAAAAGTATATAAAAAATGATTACCTTGACATGCTGCTATCTTCAGAGGGACACCACTGCTCTCCCTTAAAGTTCTGACCCTAAAATGCAGACACTAGTATTCCCATTTTATTTAAATTTCAAATTTGGGCACACAAAATCATACCAAGGGTGTGGTCAGAGACAGGAATACTTCAGTAAAACCCTGCAAAGAGCTCAAGTTTAATCACAGCTTCAATCGCAGTGAGGTGAGTGCATGTACATGAGATTCTGAAGTTCCCTGGCTGAAGGCCACCACTACTCCTTCTTGACCTCCCCTCACAAAAGTGTGTGATCTATACCAAGACATCATTATCTGTATATCTGAAGAAAAACACATGCACATCAGATTTAATGGAAGATCTGGGAGATTGAGAGAAACTTTGCTCTTTATATGTATGACTACATAGAGCATACTTGCCTAGATATGCAGGTTGAATTTTTAATATTACTTGTATAAAATGAATTTTATAATACATATAGTTTTGAACCTTGCTATTTTTTCTACTTACCAGTTTATCATGACCACTCTTTTCAAGTCAAGAAGTTTAATTCTCACCTTTTAACATTTGTATAGGATTGCAATTACAAGAATATATCAGAATTTATTTAATCAGCCTCTGTTGATAGATAATTATAATGTCATCTAATTTTTATTCCACTATGAGGTTTTTTTTGCTTTTACAAAAAAAATGAATACATACTCCTTGTATCGAATGCTCCAGTAAAAGTAGTTGTGTAAGACATTTTCTCAAAAGAGCTTATAAAATATGTGCAACTTTTATTCTGACAGATGATTTGGGAATTTTATGAAAATATGACTTATTTTATATTATAAAATTTAGATAATGTCTTTCAACATTGTAGAAATATATTAAATGTTTATTCCCCAAATCTTTCATATGATATGAAGGGTAGGTAGAGTGAAATTAAGTGGGCAAGGAGCCTACATTAGCACCAGGTTTTTGAAAGGATACTTGGTAGCCAGGAAAGTGAAACCAGTGATTCTTTCAGCTAAATTGAGAAAAATGAAAGTAAAAGAATCTGAACTAGGGTAGAGACACTTGGACACAAAGCTCAACATGTTGCAATTCAATAATCCTGTATGCAGTGCATATCATGTACCAGGTTGAGAGGCAGTGCAGTGATTAAGAACGCAGTCTCCTCCGCTGACTTTCAAAGCCACTTACTGGCCATATAAGCTTGGACAAAATCACTCTGTGTCCCAGTCTTCTCATCAGTGGAACCAAGATAATATTAATATCTACCTCAAACAACTGCTGACACAGTGGAATGAGTAAACCCATGTAAGGCACACTTAGACCAGCCCTTTTCACATTGTAAATACTCAGTCAATTACATTTCTATAGTTAGGACACAAGCAAGCCCTCCTCACACAGGGCAGTGTATGCATAAAGGATTGTGATTAAATAAATATAGTTGCAAGTGACAATAAGAATATTCACAAAGCACCATGGTAACATAGACATAGGAATAATCAATTAAGAGTAAGGACAGATTCTAGATGCATGGCCAGAGGATATTACAATGAATGACATTTCAAATAGGAATGTAAGTGATCTCTGTGAAATGGTTTTCTAATCTTTGTTTTTCATTCAACAAATATTTATGGAGCACTTATAATAAGCTAGATACTGTTTATAAGGGAAGTTCTATCAGAATCTGAATATGATAAATGAAAGGAAACTTTAAAAGGAAGGAAGCAAAGAGGAAGGAAAGATGGATGGGAGAAAGGAAGAAAGAAGGAGGGTTAAAAAAGAAGGGAGAGAAAGGAAAGGGAAGAAGGCAGAGATAGACTTAAAAAGAAAATTGGAGGGCCAGGAGTATGTTCAGCAGCCTGGAGCCTGCATGCCAGCAAAGCATGAGGTCCTGAGTTTGATTCCCAGTACAAAAAAAATGGATAAGCGATATTGAAAGACTTGGTTTTATTTATGATGGTCACTTTATAATGGGTGATCAAATAAAGATTCTTTGAAGAGTAGTATTTGAGTTCAACACAATTAGAGACAAAGATGTCTGCTATTCAAAGATTATGGAGAAGGAAATTCTAGAGAAAATCAGTACTTAATGCAAACACTGAACATTTTGGACAAGTGAGATCTAATCTGAGATGTAGTTGTTGAAAGTGAGAAATCAGTGACAACCATGGAACTACTTTACAGTTGAGCAATAAATTCAATGCATAATGTTATCTTCTCCTAAGAAGAGAAAATGGAACAGGTTGGCAAGTACAAATCAAGAGTTCTATTTTGGCTGTGTAAGGTTTGAGATATCCACGTGGAAATATCAAAAGAATATGAAAAGACATGCGAACATCCTTGGATATACAAGTCTAGAGTTCTGCAGGCAGCTCAGGCTGCAGGTTTTGGTTTGAGAGATGTCTGAAAAGAACTCTGATGTGCCTAAGGCTCTCAGGAAGCCCAGGAGCCCTTCCTACAAGGGGATGATTTACCACAAGAAGAAGAAAATGGCAGGAGTTTTTCTCCTAAAAACAGTTGGTCAGGTTTCCTGATATTTTTTATAGCAAGAGAGGTTTTTTTTTTTTTTTAAACAAAGTGGTAGGAAATTAACAATGCTTGTTGTATTACATATTGATATCTTCAAAGTGGTTACTCATGAAAACAGACAGAGACATGCAATAATGATCAATCAATATTGATCAATATTGATCAATCAAAAGATATTTTAAAGGAATAATATTTAATAGTTCCTCACACTATAGGAAAAGAAATTTTACTCAGTAGTGTTAGGAGTTGTACACTGTTTACACTACTCAGGATAGAGATCCCTCTTCCTAAGAGTGGGACATAGACATCTTCACATATTAACAAGTTAACATTACTTACCTTTTTTCCTTATCCTCTTATAAATAATTAACTAGCCATATTATCATTTTTAGCTTCACATAGTCCACTGGAATTCGGCGAAGTACTCCAGTGTGGCCGAAGCCATCTCAAAGCCTGATGGTGTAGCAATTATTGGTGTCTTGGTGAAGGTGAGTTACAGATACCCGTAGAGCTCAACTAGTGCTATTGCTTTAGCAATCAGATCTCAAAATAAAAGATATAAGACAAAAGACATTTGAAGTTTTCCATCTGGAAAGTTCCCCTTCTACTTACGGCTGAAGAAAACTTTTCTTTGTACTTTGTTGCCTTGCTCCTATGCTTTTCCCTCTTGACAAAAGAAATTTTTGAGTAGGGAAGTAGGAAGTTGTCAACAGGGAAAAAGGAATTTCTATTTTCCAGTTTTTCCAAATTCCCTTTTCACTACATTTCTTACCTCAGACTCAGGAGTTTATTAATTTAGTATTTCATCAGAAAAGAAAAGTTAAGAGATTTTCTCCATAAAGTTCAGTTGATTTTTTCAATTGGTAGATGGTGCTTAAATCCTCTATTGAAGAGTCCTTGGAAAGTTATGTAAGAAAATCATTATTAAACTGAGTATGATTGAGCAATTAAATCACTTTTGGAATTACAGTGATTCCCCTAACTTTTATTAAGCTCTCAGAATATGACAAAATGTGCTAGTTATTAGTAATAGAAAAGACCAAAATGAAGAGTTTTGGCTTTTATGTCATAATTTTACTCAGTTTCTAGATTTGTCTTGTGTAGCTTTGAACGTCTTGACTATAATTAAATTTCAGCCAAGCATTTTGTTTGTTACTTTGCCTGTGGTTAACCTAATACATAATGAGGGTACAAGCACCTACAAAAACACACACCTAAAATTCCATATCCCAGAGAGGAGAGAAATTACCTTAAGTCTTTTCAGTTATTGTTGTTGATTTTAAAAGCTTAACATTTAGTGTACTACTAATATGCATTTAACACTAATTTTGTTAAATTTCCAGGTTGGTCAGGCCAACTCAAAGCTGCAGAAAGTACTTGATGCCCTAAGTGAAGTTAAAACTAAGGTAAATGAACTTAACAAGATAGTTTAATTCTAAGACAAATAATCCATAGAAATATGAAAATCACTCAGTCACACATTTGAAGTGGGGAGTACTTATTCTGGATGTAAAAGTTACCAATCTGAAAAATCAACATATTATACAGATACTGCCTGTGTCTGAGAAACCCTCTGATTCAGGAATTTGTTTTGTTTTCACATTTTTTATTGATTTTGGCCAAGTACAAAAGGAGGTTACTTAGTCATTAAAACTCACTTGAAATACTGCATCCACCTGAAGTATGAGTTTTTTTCACCTTATGAAAATAACTTTTTTTGGAAATACAAAAGTTTAGAAGTACAGTATATTCTTTTGAGGTGACATTAGTATGCCATATTTGACAATCATGATATCCAACTAAACTTAAAAAAGGGATTTTCTGAAATGTCCAATCTTTCATTGTTTTAACAGTAAATATTTAAACCATAAGTCAGAGGTTTGTCATTTTCTTTCACATTGTAAAGACCGTTATCACTATGTAAAGTAACTTTGTTTTGTGCTGATTTGAGAGATGATTAAACTTTAAATAAGTATACTGTAAAACAACCCCTCAAAAATATCTTTTAAAACTACATATGAAAAGAAAATAAGTAGTAAAGATATCAAAAGCGTGAAATAAAAAAATTTTCAAATGATGAATAAATATAAAACAAAATATTATCAATAAAATGAGATGTCATTTCTTTGGAATAACCAACAAAAAAGGCATACTTTTGACATCTGTAGTAAAGGAAAAGTGGCACATACACAAAATACCATTATAAATAAAAGTTTTAAAAGATAAGATCTATAACTAAAGTACAGAAGAAAAGCTTTAATGATAAAACTACATCATATGCTTGCTAAAGGAAACCTTAAGATTAATTATAGCAAATCAACTTCAATACTGTATTGAGACAATGTTCCTAAACTTGTAGAGCTTAGTCCATAGATAGGAGGATGAATCAGTGATAGAATATCTAATGTAGTTCATTATATTCATTATAGTGTGCATAATATAATTCATGAAACATAACAAAGAAGAAAAACCCTATCATCTACTTGTTAAATGATTACAATGCATTTGCAAAAATCAGTGCTCATTCTTGAAGGTAAAACAAAATGAGAGGAATGAAAACCTCTTCCATTCGATAAAAGACACCACCTGGAAACTTGAATCAAACATCAAAAAATTACCCATAAAGCAATTGAAGCAAATATATTCTATTCAAAAGCTGTTGTCATCACAATTAAATGTTGTAATTGAAGTCCTAAGCAATGCAATAAAGTGAGGAAGAAATATAGGTGTATTTTAGGATAAATATTGGAGAACCAAAGAACAAAATACCATTGTGGACAGATAATATAATAACTGATATCTACCTGGAAAACTCAAAAGAATCATCTAAAAAGCCCATGTACATAAAAGATTATAATGATTCATTTTCTACATGCCATAATAACCAAGAAATAAGGGGGAAATATAACTAAATTGTAACCTGCTAGCATGTCAATAAATATCTTTTCACTAGAACAGAATCTAGCATAATTCCTAAGGAAACAAAATGTTTTATGTTAGATATAGACATTAAACAGCTTTTCATGAATATTAATTATAAAAAGAAGTTTTACTTTTGCTTATCTTCAACCAAATGAAGAAAGAGGAAGATTTTTTGGCCAAAATTTCTGTTCTTATCTAATCTTTGTGTTGTTTAGATCCACAAACACACCAATTATGAAATAATATATAGTAACAAAGTCAAACCCTTAGCTAAAATCTCTGGATAGCATAAGTTTCTGAGAACTTATTTTCTCTTCCTTTACATATTGCTGTAAATATTTTATGCCATGAAAAGATGATGTACACATACATGTATATTTTTCCTTATTTTCTCAGGGCAAACGGGCCCCATTCACAGATTTTGACCCCTCCATTCTCCTTCCCTCATCCCTGGATTACTGGACCTATTTTGGCTCTCTGACTCATCCTCCCCTCCATGAAAGTGTGACCTGGATCATCTGTAAAGAGACCATCAGTGTCAGCTCAGAACAGGTACGGCGTCAAAGGGGAAGAGTGAGATTCGGGACTACAGTTCAGGACTGCCACTTCAACTGATAGAGTCAGGGAGTGTTATAATCTCAACTAGGTTTCTGAGAGGCTTTTTCCCCCAGCTATGAAAGACTGTTCCCTGGAACAATTCTATTGAATTATGTCCAAAAAAATGTAGTATAATAGCATTTATTTAATTTTTATGCAAAAAATAAAAGCATGGAACTAGGCATGGTGCCACACACGTGTCATCCCAGCACTCTCGAAGCTTAAGCAGGATGATGGCAAGTTCCAGCCCAGCCTGGGAAATTTATTGACTTGGTGAGACTCTATCTCAAAATTAAAAATTAAATGGCAGCTAGAGATGTAGCTCAGTCGAAGTCCCTGGATTCAATCCATAGTACAAAAGGAAAAGAAAAGAAAAGAAATGAAAAGAAAAGCAAAGAAAAGAAAAAAGGAAAGGAAAAAGGAAGGAAGGAAGGAAGGAAGGAAGGAAGGAAGGAAGGAAGGAAGGAAAGGAAGGAAGACAAGAAAAGAAAAGAAAAACATGAGATTCATAACTCCCACTATTCTCTTTAATAAGGAAAAGCCTAACCTTTGTAACTGTCTCCTTAAGAATTTCAGAAACAGGAAAAACCGTCCCTGACAGATCCACAAGACTTTAAGGAAATGTAGCTCTCAGCTGGCATGCGTTTGTAGCTGCTGTGTTTATTTTCAAGCTTGTTTTTAAATATATATCAAAATATCATATTAATTATCCTTTATAGTGATAACAATAATTATCATTGATCAAACTACTGCTTCTATTAGGTATCTTGCATGTGTTTTGTCAGCCAATTTTCATAACAAACATGCAGGGCAAACATTGCAGCCCATGGATAACTGACACTGAGCAAACGCTATGTATTATCACATTTAACCTTTACAACACAATGAAGTAAAAAGTGAGGCACAAAATTTCTCATTACTTGCCCAAAGTACCCCAGTTGAAAAGTGATAAAATAGTATTTTAGTACTTTAATCCAGTTAATCATCAATAATTTAAGCAAAATCCTTAACTTAAAGGAATGTGATGGATCCTTCCCATTGGTAAAGCTAATACAGCTGGGTGTGGTGGAGCACGTCTGTAATCTCAGCACTCTGGAGGCTGAGGCAGGAGGATCGTTACCAGTTTGAGACTTGCCTGGGTTACAAAGTGAGCTCAAGGCCAGCCTGAACTGCATAGTGAGACCCTGTCTCAAAAAGACAAAAAAAAAGCTAATGCAATCCTCAACTCAGTTTTCTAAATATCAGTGTATTAATTACACTGGCAATTCAGTGTTTTGTGGGACTTTAATATTTCTTAATTCTTCGAATATCGTACCCTTCCAGCTGGCACAGTTCCGCAGTCTTCTATCCAGTGCCGAAGGTGACAAAGCTGTCCCCATACAGCACAACAACCGACCACCACAGCCAGTGAAGGGTAGAGTGGTGAAAGCCTCATTCTGATGGGGCCAAGAAGGAGCTCATCTCAAGAACCCAGCCGTGCTTCCAACATAACGCAGATGATCATTTTTAAGAAACAAACATTTCAATACTAGCAAGAGAGCATACTTATACATTTATCCTAGAGAATTAGAGAAACATCAAGTTTAGTTCTCAGTGCATAACTCAAATCATCCTTAAGCTTGCAAATACTGATCTATAAGCATAAGTTTATGATAAATTCAACTTTATTTTATGGAATTTTTTATAATCACAGCTAAGTGATTTGTCTCTTTCTTTTCACTGATTCAATAAAGTAGTTTTATCTGTTTCTTTTTGTCTATTCTGTATTGGGTGGCTCTTTTATTTTTATGTTTTTCTCAATCAGATTTTATTGGTACATTTTTTTTTATTTTAAAGAGCAAAAGAAGGATTACATAATAATGGGGGGGCTTATGAAATTACAGACAAAGTGGTAGGAAATTATCAATGGTCATTGTTTCACATATTGTTATCTACAAAATAGTTTCTCAGGGAAATAAAAAGACAAATAATAGTGAGTTACAGACAGAAGAGGTAGGAGATTATCAATAGTTGTTGTACTATACTTTGGTATCTTCAGAGTGGCTTCTAAAGAAAATAAATAGAGCTATACATGAGTGACCTATTGAATACTCATTAACTTTTCTCAGTGGTTGTTGTAGGGAACACATAATGATAGACATGCATCCATTTATGAAATGGGATAGGAACAATACAAACATTGCAGAGTTATGGATAGATTAGTAGGAAAATATCAATGGCTGCTGTAATACATGGTGGTATCTTTGAAGTGGTTTCTCAGGAAGACAGAGATACGCAAGAAGAATCTAACAAGTAGTTACAGCCTAAGGGTTGTAAAAACTCAAGTGAGCCATTTGGGGCAAAAGCCATTTTTGTAGCATTTTCTCTCCAGCCTCCCATCTCATTAGGACTCCACAACCAATTAGTGTCCTCTCCCCAACTGTCAGCACAGGCAGCAGGAATCCTGCTGTGGACTTCTCCGGAGCTCCACCACAGCCTGTGCTGTCAGGGGAAGAATGGCTTCCAGGGAGTCTCTGCAGGTATTGTGCAAGATCCTCCTGGTTTACAGCTTCCCAGCGTCTCTCAAGACCCCAGTCCACAAGACCTCTGACTCCTCGGGGTTAGTCTGCATTCTCATGTTCTCCGTGTCCTTGTTCAGCAGCTGCTCCTCCACTGACTCTGGACCTTTCTGGTTCTCAGTGGCAGGAACAAGAGTGGCCCATTGTATGGCATGTATTCCCAGGGATTTCTCCGTGTTTGAATGATTCACACACTTCCGTGGGTGGGCATCTGCAGCCGGTGCATGGTGGACCAGTTATGTCACTGTTTCTCTGTGTCGTGGTAGTTCTCAATTAAGCCGCGGTGGCCAGCCTGAAGGCCAGTGCGCAACAGTGATCGCTGCGGCGTGGCTTCCCCTGTGCCGGGGGCCCTCTTTCTGGGCACCTAGGAGGCAGGAAGCGAGCCAGCCGGAAGACCGGTGCTCCCTGCCCGTGGCTCCCTGTGCACCGGAGGCCTTCCCTCTGGGGGCCTACGAGGCAGGAAGCGAGCCCCAGTGGTATTTTAAAATTTGAGACAAGGTCTAAATTGTCTAGGCTGGGTTTGATCTTGTGATTGTTCTGCCTCAGCTACCCAGTTCTCGGACTACTGTGTGCTACTGCGTCAGGAATAAGGCCCTGGGATTTTGAAAAGCTGCTTCTTCGCATCCTCACACCTTGGAAGCTGGTACAACTGTTAGGTTTTGACCATGCATCTAGCCAGGTATGGCGGTGTAGGCCTGTAATCCCAGCACTCAGGAGGCTGAGGTGGGATTACCATGAGTTTAAGGCCAGTCTGAGCTACATAGTGAGATCCTGTCTCAAAAAGAGGGGAGGCACTACTTTCTATGGCTTTCAAGGAGGCAATCTAACAAACTCCTTCCCACAGGCAGTGAACTATCTCCTGACTCCTGCCTCGGGACTGCAAGACCCTCAGGTGACTGAGGGTCATCAGCAGAAGGTGGCCTCACTCACCAGGCTCCAAGTGGCTGGCAAGCACATGGCACCCTGTAATGGCTCTGTCCGTGTCAGGCTACTAATCATTCAGGCCTTCACGGGTCGGAACACTGAGCGTAGACATAGCCTCGATTCTCTCTGCTGCCTAGTGATGCAGATGTGACACAGCAGCCACACCTGCAACACCTTGAGGGGCATTATTGGTACATTTTAGATGTATATATAATGATCACATTCATCACAGAGAATTTGAACCTGTATATTCAGTATTCTATAAAGACCGTTAAGCTCCTATTCCATTTACATTTTAAAAAGTTAAATACCTTACTTCAAGGAGTATTTTGCCTCAAATATAAGAAACCTAAGAGCAACTTGAGATGAAATATCAAGAAAGTCATTTGCTTACTTTTAAAGAAAATATGTAACATCATATGTCACCTGATGTTAATATTACTATGCTGGCCCAACATTGCTACCATTTGTGTTCTCTATAAGAATGCTATCTTTTAAAAAGGAAGATGCTTCTAAATATTGCTTCTACTTTTTCTCCCCACATTATCAAGGTCAATGCTGTTCTACATTTATTATGACTAATTAATTTGCATGCATTTGTATCTTAAATTTGAAAGAAAAATGATAAGGGGATAATGTTTAAAAAATACTGAAGGGTCATGTGGCATAAAATCATAGAGAAACATTGTTCAGTCTTTTGTGCACTTAATCTGAAACCGGTGTTCTCTGAAGCCATACCTACATTCAGAGTTTTGCAATCCTGTGTCAAATATTTACTGTGATTTACTTTATTTCTTTTGTCTGAAAAATCATATTAGAGACCAAAGCTCATTTCAGTGTTTTTTGGTTAATCTATATCACAGAATCAGCCAAAATCTCCAAATAACTGTCATCAAAGTTAGAAAGACAGACCAGGCACATTCTTCTTTGCACTGAGGGAGCTCTTCAATAGAGGTGGATTTATTTTTACAAAACAACTATCCCCTTAGTTCACACAGATCATATCAATTGGCTTTTGATTCTAAAGTTATTAAGGGTTACCATGAGAGCCAAAGAAATAGATATTTTGTAGATAACACATCTACAAAATATGCTCAGTACCTACGGAATACTTGAAATCATTTTTGAAAGTAAGCAATTTAGAAATTTCATGGGAAGTACTTTTTAAAACACCCTGCTATCTCATATATATTTTAAGAAGGTTGAAATGGATTCCTAGATTGATAGATAAGTCTGTGAGTCCCTTTATGGAAAGGGTAAACATGTGACCGGAGACATATGATGGTCATCAAACTTTATCACTAAGCCAAATGCCAGGTGGGGAGCATGTTTCTCCTTCCTGCTTCAGCGAGAATTTCATCAATTTGGCACAACTTACCAGGTGCTTTATAGGGGCTTTCCATCCTTCTCTGAAGAAGCCGATAAAACAGCTGTTGAGAGAAGATATGTGTACTAAGCATTAGGTCATCTGAGAATTCAACTCATATGTTTCAATGACTCATCCTCTTCTTGTATACCCTCCTCTTCTGTCAATTTAGTTATGTAGAGGATTTGGACATGGTGCAAGGATTCTGTTTTCTCCATGACGTTTGTCAATGGACCTTCCTTATGTCAAAGGGGGCTTCTCAGCATCCAGAATGACAGTGCCAGCTGATGAGGCCCAGCCTAGGTTCAAGGGTCCAAGGTTGCTCCTTGCTGGCCTCTGTCTTCTCATCTCCTCCTCTGAAAGAACATGCAGAGCATTTATGGCAATGTTGTACTGATTTGCAAGCCCAAGGAGCTCAAGATATTTCCTAAGTTGTTCATGTTTGTAAGTTTAAACTAAAGCAAACCTCCTGAGAGCATTAAATTCATCAAAGGGGAATTATGCCAAAGAAAAGAAATGAAAAGAAACAATTTATTCCTTACAGTATACAAAAGAGCATCTGTCTATGTTACTCCAGATTTGTGGCTCCTTACTATTTTGTGGTCACAGATACCTATAAATATGTGACTAAAGCTGTGAAACTTCTCTCTCCCTCTCCCCTCCAAAACAAATTACACAATTAGATCTAACCAAATTTTGTACTGAATTTTATACTCCTTAAAAACCTACCCTATTCATTTCTTTTCAGTCACAAGTCATTCTGGACCTCAGAACAAGATCCTTGCTCTAAATACAAACATTAAAAATGGGCTATAAAGGGCTGTACATTTTTTATCTTTTTCCCTAATGTAACATGCATTTTTGCTTTTCTACCTTATTTCTTATAGCAGTTGCTTCAGGACAGACTGACCATATCTTTCTGGGATAGTTTATGAATTATCTTTCTTTTTTCTCTTTCCAATTATTATTTTAAGTTGATATAAGTTTGTTTCTTAGAAAAGATATAAAAAGATAAAAATGAAAGAAAATTGAAAGATTAGTGAATTTTTTATTAATGGGTAAAATAACAAAAAAGGTGCAAAATAGTTTAAAACCACAAAAAAGAAAAGGCTCAACTAAGATCATCAGATTAATAATGGGCCAAAATCATTCAGAGTAATGTGAACATTCTCTGTATCCAAGACCATGAAAGCATAAGAAAATACTTTATGTGTCTTTGTGATTACTATGAACTCCAAGTGCTTGTCAACTATTCCTTATGACACACTGTACAGGGATTTCCTTATTACTAATAGATTCTGCTATTTTCGATCTCAGGTAATACACAAAGAGGTAGACAGAGAGGCAGGCATAGATATGAATGAATGATGTTTCTCTATGATTTTATGCCACATGATCCTTCAGTATTTTTTGTACATTATCCCATTGTCTTGGTTACTTTTCTCTCATTGTTGGGACAAAATACCTGATGCCCAAAATTAAGGAAGGAAAGGCTTATTTCGCTTACAGTTTGTGGAGGTTTTAGTCCATAATTGGCAGGTTACAACGCAGAGTGGCACATGGCAGAGGGTTACAGCTCATGGTGGCAGAAAACAGCAAAAGCAGCAAGCACACAAGGGAGGAAGGGCCCCAAGCAGCCTCTTCCTCTCCCTTACATATGCAAACTATCCACCCCAGGGTGGGTGTAGCTCTCACACCCATAAACAATCAAACCCCAAAAGCCTGCCCTATGACCGCATGAGGCTTTGGGGGGACACCCAGACACAAACCATAACACCCGTTATCATTTTTCTTTCAAATTTAAGATACAAATGGAGTCTCGAAATGGGTTATCACTTCCATGAAGATGAAAGGAAAAG